AAAGAGAGAAAGAAAGAAAGAAAGAAAGACAGACAGAAAGGAGGGGTGGGGTTGGGAGCGACAACGGCGAACGGGCCAAAAAAGACAACGAGGGACGCAAATTGATCCATATCGAATAGAAGGGTTGATTATTTCAGCCGAGTCCCTCAGGATCCTCTTTTTTTTTTTTTTTTTTTTTGTCCCTGAGGATTCGAACGAAGTCTTGCGTCTGTTTATCAACTGCTACATGTGCGTGTACCATTCTTCCCCCGAACACAACGCACCCTTCTAATGAGTGCATCAGACCGGAAAAATGACTTGTGTACATTCATTAGCAGGGTGCGTTGTGCTCGGCGGCTGGGGCAAAACTTCTTTTTAAACTTCGTTTTTTTTTTTTTTCAAATTTGCAATTCCCGCTGTTTTTAATTTGTAATTTTCGCTCCCCCCTCTCACTCCCCTGGGGCGACGTCCCACTATAGTGGAGCGAGGCCCCATGACTTCAAAATTCAAATCCTGAAAAAGCAACACTACCGTCTTCCCCCCTTGAATACAACGAGCCCTCATTATGAATGTACACAAGCCAACTTTCCGGCCCAATACAGTCGAGATAACGGTAGTACGTTGTGTTCGGCGGAAAACGGCAATTTTAGGACTCGCCCTCTCATAAACAACAGCGGGGGCAAGGTCCCACTAGCAAAGAGAATTGAAGCGAACGCCTGAATCTGGACGTATTTGTGGAAAGGTGCAGAAGATCACGATTGATCTGCTTTAAATTTCTGCATCTCTGCGTAAAACACATCCAGACTCAGGGGCTTTAAATTCAATCCTCTTTGTAAAAAAAAAAAAAAAAAAAAAAAAAAAAAAAAACAATCCTTTTTGTTACTATAGGGGGAGAGAGGGGGGAGCGAAAATTACAAATTAAAAACAGCGGGAATTGCAAATTTGAAAAAAAAAAAAAAAAGAAAGTAAGATTGTACTAGATATTACCCCTTTTCTCGAATCTACGATAACCATTCCATATCTTATACCTTTCTCGGCCTTGTGGTGGAAATAGATAAAGTGTAGTAGAGTCCGTTCTGATCAGACTAATATCAGATCCGAGGTCCATCGTTTCCATCGGTCCCATCGGGCCCATGGGTCTCATTTAAAAAAAAAAAAAAAAAAAAAAA